CAAAGTTCCAGCTCGAATGAAAGAGTTTTAATTTTGGAACGATTTTCGTCCAAGTGGCCCTTTAATTTGCCTTAGAGAATAGTATGATATGTATCATGTACATTAAAACACTGATAAAACTATATTTCTTGCCTAGAGTAATCAATTGAATAATTCAGAAGTCGAGTTCAATTGAAATGCAATTGATTGCCGAATGCAGTGGAATACAATTATTCAATTGGATTCGATGGAATCAAACGTCTGTTAATTTGCTCTATTGATTAAGCCGGGTTCTTGATAACATAATTACAATTCCCTGCAAAAGCATCATTGAATAATTTAACTTTCCTCATTGTGTAATAAATATTATATGTGGTTGCATTGGCTGTTAAAATGTGTTACATATTTTGCTCTTCTTATTTGTTGAGTATTATAGTAAGTTTCAGAATACAGCAATCTTTACACAGTCTTTACACAGCCTTATTTAACAATTATTCACCAAAGGCGAAGTGAATATCAGGGAATATTACCGAGACACAATGAGTATTATAGTAAGTTTCAGAACAGTAATCTTTACACAGCCTTATTTAACAATTATTCACCAAAGGCGAAGTTTGATCGGGGAATATTTACCGTGATGTGAGTCTTCAAGTGGCGAGGTAAATATTCCCCAATATTTACTGAGGCTGAGGCAGGTGATTCTTTCAAAAAAAGAAGATAAGAGACATTTTTTTCCAGTAACAAAAAAAAGTGGCTGGCCGCCATTTTGGATTATCACGGAAGGTGATTATTGTGTGATAATGTGAGTTTCTCAACCAATCAGTGCACGAGATTTTCAATAATCACCTGTATATTTTTACTAAAAATGGATAATAAGACTCATTCAGCTGATTCAAGCCAAACAATATCTGGCATGTCCTTGATTTATGACCACTCTAGCTTTTTGATACCTTGGAGAAATCAAACACCAAAAATACAGTATATAACCCATAAATGACACAATGTCAGGGTCCAAAACTTGTCCATCAGACATAACCATGTTTTAGAATTTAGGCATCCTGCAAAAATCTTGTTCAGCAGTATTTCCACGATGGAAATGGTGGCATTGATTCAGATCACTTTATCCACACTCTCTTTTCTTTAGCAATTAATTTTTGATGCCAGAATTGAAAAATAATTGACTAAAAACCATCAAAAAAGCTCTTTCTTTTATTCAGCAAATGCTGCGAACAGACTTGGGTTAAAACGTTTGGTCATCAGCTGGACAACAATCTTCTGAAATTCAGTCAATTGAAAATGCTAGTCATCGCTGACAAATGGACAACTGCTAATTTCAGACCCTGAATGTGCAACAAAGCCATATAAAAGCTTGTTTTTGAATATTATCAAAAGCAACTGTAGCATGCATTATATGAACATACAACCTTAGACATGCATTATATGAATATACAACCTTAGACATATATTATATGAATATGGGTTATACAGAAACTTGAACAAGAGGAAGACTACAGTGCAAACAGGTTTTACCAGACTAATATAATATCAACTTGCTACAGTATGTGTTACAATAAAATATAAAATTTCATAGCAGTTGATTTTCATCTTCCTTGGCAGTGAGCATAGTTTGATATTAATTGTCAATCAAGACAGAACAGATCCTGAAGGAGACAGACTAAGATCCATTGAAACTGCCAATCAACTATAACAACAACCAAGAGTGTCACAAAAAATGATTATGATTTATAATACTCTATGAACAGATAGCTAGATCACTGATTCTTTAGAGTAAAATGTTGAAAATTCTTGCCATTGTCTCACCAAAATATTATGCTTGACTGTTCATAGGCTGTCAATCCAAGCATTGCAAGTCAAGTTTTGCCTCAGGTAAGATTTTAATAGTGCAATCAATTATATCTCACAACAGATCTGCTATTATAGATCCCTTGCACTACTCATACATCACTACCTGAGGGTCAAAACAATCAAAAATATGAAAATCAAAATAGATCTATAGTAGATTCTTATTTCAACCGCATGAATTTATGCATTTACTGCAGTTTTCGATATTCTGTGAACTCAGACATTCCAGCGGCCTGTTGTGAAGTTGTTTTTTTACTGCGGCCAGTCAACAACAGAAGGTAATGACTGATTATTTTTTATTGACAACATAGAAAAACTACCTTTCAATGTGCAGCTTGCTACTACTATAAGTTCGCAGAATCTCAAAACCACTCAGTAATGAAGCCAAGATTTTGGACTAAGTGTCCATTATCAGGGCAAGTGACAGTGGCTTCAATAAATGTATAAATTCAAGTGATTGAAACAAAAATTTTTAAACAAACTTCCAGCCTATATTCAGGGCTTATAAAATAAAGGCCTGGCATCTGACAATGTCTGGTCAGAATTTGAACTTGTCCGGCCAAATCTTTGCCTAAGTTCTGGTCATTTTGACCAGTAACGTTGAGTTACAAGCAAGGTATGAATGAGCTAAAACTTATTTAAAGATGATAACGATGGGCAACTGACCAGCTATTATGTTAAGCCTATATTAGCCATTCTGACATTGAAGAAAAAACTGGGATGAATTGGCATTGCAGTGCATCTTAGGGGACATATTTCCAAGATGACATCTATTTTGTTCTCTACAACAGCCCCGGTATGCACTGTAATACCAACTAGACCCAGTTATTCCCTCGACCTCAGGATGGCTGATACAAGGATGGGTTAAGATTTCTAAATAGTTTTTGCAATATTATTATTCTATAGACTGATAATAAATCTGAGCAAGAAAAAGCTGCCATACGTATCCAGTCACACATGAGGGGGTACATAGCAAGGCGTCAATATTGTGATCTTCTTTATGAACAGTATGAAAAGGTATAGGAAGTGATCAGACTCAAAATCTGTGTGTCGCGATTCACCAATAAGTTTGATTGGGAGAGATGCTGCCAACATAAACCTGTATCGTCGGCTCAAAATTGCAATAACCTATAACTATATGTGTTTACGAAAATATACACTATTATACAAAGTCAGGAAAATTTCACTACTTTGAAATGTTTTTGGCTGTCATTCTATTGTAATATATTTAGGCGTTCTTGAAATGTACTTCATGAAATACTCTTGCTATTGGCTTTTTTAATAAATCCCACAATGCTTAATGTAATTTTCCTCATTTGACATCAAATTTATTCTTTTCAATAAAAAAAAGAAGGAAATATCAAAAGAATAATTTTGAGATCAAACGTGGAAAGTAAGGTAAGGCATAAATTTGGGATTTATTTTACAACTCTCTACAAAGATGGTGATGGTAATGATGTTAGTGTGATGGTGATGAAAGTGGTAGAGAAATGACAGCATATTTAGAGTTGTTGTGATCTTACCCTTCCTTATAGTATGTAAAAGAGATAACAAGCTAAAAACTAGTGTGAGCTGCATTGGTGTTTCTAATGAAACAGTAATGATAAAAGGATAAATTTTACACTGTGAAAAGATGAAAAAAGACACTAGTCCTTTGTCAGAGTAAAAGAGTATGTAGTATATAGTATTTAGTGGCCAAAACAATTAAGTTACATGCTATTTTTGTTGTTGAACTCTAAAGGAAGAGCAGGAAAGACTGGAGAAAACAAGACAACAAGTAGAAGAAGGGGAGCTGCTTGTAGAAAAGTATGTGTTTATAATTCAAAAAGCTTCTTTGATGATAATGTACCTCTTGGCATTCAGCTTCATTAGTCATAATGTTTTTGACATTAAAGATCTGTCATAGATTTTGGCGTGCTAGACTTACCACAGACTTTTTCTCAGAGACTGTCAGAAGACCTGTCAGGTTTTGGCTCATTTTTCAATAAGCTTTGACAACTACTGTCATAGTGTTTCCAATGCTTTGAGCTGTGTGCTCTGGGGTCTTTTTTTTGGGTGTAAATTAGTGTTATTACCAATAAAGTTGCTAAAAAAATAAATAGACTGTATAGCTATTGCAACCTTCACTTGCTTTCAGTTTGATGCCATTGAGCTGAGTCACTGCTGTATTTTGCGGCACTTCTTGGTGGTGATTAGCAATGACAATTCGTTTTTGCCTTGGTTTTTATAGACTTCACTAGATTCATTTGTGTTTGACAATCCTTTCAGAGAACAAAGCTACGTGCATATATTTATATGACATTTTGAAGTCTTCTGACTGGAATTGTCAGATACTTTGGAACAACCTTTGTACTTTCCAGTGTATTGACCTAATTGTAATGACCGTATTATCATCACAGCTACAAGCTGAAAGCAGAAATGGATGAGAATGACTGCCTACGAAGGAATCAGAGAAGAAACGTTGACTACAGTGCAGTAACGTGAGTTAGAAACTTATGTATATTTAGTATAAGTATACAATGTACCCCATTACTCTTATTTAAAGGGAAGAAGATAAAATGTAACAGCAAAAGACAAATGAAAATTAGAAGAAAACTCCATGGGGACATGATCACTCCTTTGTAAAAATAATAGATAATTATAATTTCTTTATTAACATTCAATAAAACTACATATCAAATGTTACAAATGTTACAAAGTATAAATTAAAGAAAGTCTAGAATAAAGTAAGTACTAAGTCTGATTTAAAATCACTCACAGGATTAAACTTTATGTTTGAATAGAATTTTTATATCCTAAATAGTGAACTATTTTTATTAATATTTGTGTTGTTTTATCAATCATCCTTTTAAGTTAGTGATCAGTTATGATTCCCCACCCTGGCCTACATGGCTTAAAAGAAGGGCCGGAACATTAAAACATGTCCAGCCAGAACTGGGACTTGTCCAGTCAAATCTTTGCCTTGCCAGTCATTTTGACCAGTAACATTTAGCCAGAAATGACCTTAAAACTAATTTGGCCAGTGATCATGGCCAGCGACTGATCGGCCGTTATTTTAATCCCTTGGCCCACTTCCAAAATTGTACTTTACAAGATCCTGCTGTAATTGTCTGTTCTAGTATTACAATGTTGTATTAATTTAATGATAGCTAAATAATATCAGTGATTTATTTTTGAAGTTGAATGACTTTGTTATTTTCTCATACTTTTTTCCAGGATACAAAGAGCATGGAGAGATTACAGAAGAAGAAAATCTGGTCACAGTACCAAGCCAGTACCAACACCAAACCCTTTATCACAAGTACTTGTCAATATGCCAGATAGTAATTTTATGATCAGAACAAATCCATTTCAACAAATTCGTTCCCACGCTGTTGAAGATGATGACGAAGATGACCAAATTGATATTTTTAATGACAGTCTGGAACAAGCAACTGATGAGTATCATCGGAATATTTCAACCTCTTCGAATTATGATCTTCTGGGAAGTGAACAGTTTGATTTAGATTCAGCTGGACTTGATTCAGTTCAGATGGAATTCCCATCTCCTACAACCGACTGGGAATCAATAGAATCTTGTTTGAATTCAGAGGGAGACATAAAAGATACTCAGCAAATGGAATACCCAGAATTGGCTGACAAATATTTGACTGACTTTTCCATAAAAGCCAAGGATCTCCAGATTTGTTTTGTGGATGATGCACTTAGTGATGATGGTGATGAAGATGGTTTAGAAATTAAGGAATATGTGATTGACAAGCAGGATGTTTCAGATGATGAGAAAAGAGACTCTGGTTGTGTTGCAGGTGATGAAGAAGAAAAGGAGTCTTTCAGTATTAAAACTCTAAGTCCAGATGACTTGGTAAGAAGTTCAGTCTCGGAAAAGGAATCTCAGCATGTTATGTTGGAGCTTTTGCGTCATGAGGATGATCAGGAAAAGAAACTTACTGTGCAAGGCTGGACAGTCGAAAAATTATGTAATTTAACATTGGATGAGATAAAAGCTTTAAGGGATAACTTAGCTCAGTTAATTCAAGGTAAGAGTTATTACTGAATAGGGTCAATGCATCAATATCCCCTGCTTTGACTTGGCAACAAAAGCACCAGTACCAATTGGCCTTAACGTTTCCCAAATGGTTTTAATGAATTCACCTTAGATGTTTTATTTTGTTGTTGTTAGAGTAATAAATAATAGTAAATGTATGGAAAAATAACTTGATTGAGGACCCAAAATTATTAGCAGAGTTGAAGTTTGGCGATGTAAGGGCTTAAGGTATCAGCCAGTGAGTTGCCAGTCATGATGGCCAGCCAAATTAATTTTAACTCGGTCATACCTCTTTTCTGACTCAACATTACTGGTCAATTTGACTGGACAAGTTGCAATTCTGGGTGGACGTTGCCTGATGTTCAGCAGTTATTTTAAGCCCTGGATGTATTTTTTTAGAGGTTGCATGTCTACACATGCATCAATCCATAAGCAATTGTTGGTGAAATATCAAATCATTAAGAATCGTTTGTGTACCATGAATTTACTTCCTTCTTCAGCTCAAAATGAGATGCTAGTCACAGAACTAATGATGAGAGATTCACTACATTTGAAGCAAGATTCAATGTTAATGGAAGTAGAGGATACAACGAAGTAAGTTGGATAGATAGTAGACCTAATTCGTCTTGCTGCAATGTTTTTATATCTCAGACCATGTGTTATTTCCTAGAGATTCATTTTTTAAATTTAACAGTTGCGCATGAGAATACACATTAAATGGATATAACTCAAACAAAGAATCTTATTCTCAAGGGAATAATGCATGGTCTGAAGTAGGTGAACATTTCATCAAGAAAAATTAGATCTATAGCACTAAATATTATTTTAAAATCTGCTGACTTTGGGGTTCTATCAACAAACTGCAAAAACTGTCTTTTGCTTTCTATCTAACTGCAAATCAATCAATTGCGAATGCCAGTATGTCACTGTTGGATCATCTTTGCTTACGTGTAAGGGTTAATTAGTGCGACATGAGCAGCTGTTAAACACTCATTTTATTTTACATTGGCTAACTCTTAGACAAATTAACAACAAGGCTATAATTAATACCCATAAAAGGGTTAAACCATTGAACTAATGTGGAGTGTTAACAATGTTTCAGAAATGATGAAAACAGTGAAGAAAACCAAGCTGCTGAATAATAAACTAAAATTAAAAGCTGTCATCAACCATAAAAATTAAACTGTGTATGACATAAGCCATAAATTGTTCAAAGTGTACCCTAAAACATTAAGTCATCAAYACCTTCACTGAATACATACTTTTAATTTAAATGTAAGGGAACATCTTTTGACTGTACAATACTATCTCTACTGTGGATGCCTGGTGATTGAACTAGAAAATTTCTTACCATATACTGTATATAGGTAATTGTGTACTTCATGACCAGCTGACACGTGTTGGTTGACTATCACCAGACTGTTGGTCGATAGTCGGCCAACTATCAACCAACAGTTGACCACCACTTCACCAACACACCATTATCATATACTTTGTGATATATCTTTAATCTTTAACCAACTATTGGCCAACACTGACAGCCGTCATGAAGTACACAGGTTGATTACTCTGTATACAGGTATATATCTTTTTTTATTATATTAAATATATTATTTTGAGACACTACTCCACAAGAGGAATCATACTTGTACAGTTACAACACCACCTCTTTTGTAGATGACTGGTGATTGGATGGGAAATATTGTTACCATGGGAAAATTTGAATTTGAGGAAGTTGGACACCACTCCACAAAGGAAATACAGTGTAATACTTGCACATTTACTGTTTCTGTTGCATGTTTTAGACACATGTAATGTAGACTATTGTGCTTGGGTTGAATCACACACAGTGTTGAAGTGGATATGTTTATTTTACACACTACAATTGCTGGGTTTTGTATGGATTGAATTATGTGTTTTTATTAGAAACCTTCCCAGCTGACAGCTGATGGTGGTCAATATTTGAAAGAGATGATAAGATTCAAAGACTTTTATCAGCTGATTGAAACCCAGCAGTACCATACTATAGTAAAAAGCTGTTGATAATCAAAATTCATCAAGATCATTTAGATAAATGTACTTTTGTTGTACTGTATTACTGCGTAGCATTAAAATCATCCATCTTCAACTACTAATACTCATACTCATACTCATACTTCACAAACAAAAATCTTTCCTTTTAATAAATCCTGAAGCTTCTGGTTTTAATGAATAATCTTTACTGTAGACAAAGATCACGTGTGTCAAGTGGTGTCGGCAGATTGGTTGTCACAACAAGACGACGGTACACCACATACAACTGAGAGAAAAATGCAAGAATTGGGCTTCCTGTGGTATCAATCTGTAAATTCTAATGTCTTATCAACTACATAATTAATTTATTGTACCTGTATATGCGCATATAAACCAAGTTGGTGCATAATCATATTGTAAAGATATAATTTCTTTAACTTTTCATTTCTGTGCTGAAAATATAAAATTCTTAAAATTGTAAATAATTGAAAAACTTTGATCTCATGTCAAGAACCACTTCTAGAGCCAGCTTTGTTTAACTTCAACAAAATCTGCCATAAATGACACTACCTATCAGTAGATAAATGCTATAAGCACTCCCCCAGGGGATACCACTTAAATTTCTCATCAAATCCTCCTTTTTTTGCTTAGGGAAATAACGAGAGGGGATAACCAAACTTGTGTAAGCATTTCTCGTGTTTAATAGCTAAGATTACAATAACGAACAGCTAAAAATATCATCATTGGCACAATCAGTTGTAAATACAAAATCAGTTAAATGTGTCTAGTGATAAAGCATCATAATTGTATTGTATCTAAAGAAATCCCAGAATGCAATGATTTGTATGAGCAACCAGCTACTTACATGTACAGTATATAGTCATTTTGCTGGTGTCTGTAATGTAATATCATAAATTTATCATATCATTGCAAGTAACACCAACCACAGTTGCCTAATTCAGCATGGTTTCCTAAAATAATGCTAGAGTGATTTTCCTTTGCCCATGAAAGAATAGTCAACGAAATATATAGTAGCAGACACTAATTCCATTGTCTTCTTTCGTGTCTATTTGACTAGAGTGAAGTCACTAAACCCGTGTAATAGATATTAGATTAATACTCATTAGTAGACCCTAATTCCATTGCTTTCTTTCGTGTCTATTTGACTACAGTGAAGTCACTAAACCCGTGCAATAGATATTAGACTAATACACATTAGTAGACCCTAATCCCATTGTCTTCTTTCGTGTCTATTTGACTAGAGTGAAGTCACTAAACCCGTGCAATAGATGTTAGACTAATACACATTAGTAGACCCTAATTCCATTGTCTTCTTTCGTGTCTATTTGACTAGAGTGAAGTCACTAAATCCGTGCAATAGATATTAGACTAATACACTTTAGTAGACCCTAACTCCATTGTTTGTTTTTGTGTCTATATGACCATTACATGTTGACTAGTAATTTTTATTTCATGGGTTAAATGCCTTCGCTCTACTTTGAATTTTAGTCACTTATTATACAACTTTGTTTCATGGGCCAAGAAAATCGACTCTAAAAGTTACAATTGACTGTTTTCTCTGTATGTCTTCACTAGTCAAATTCAACATTGATCCAAAGGCTGCAAGGGAGTTTCAAATCAGTAACACAATCATTTGAATAAATACTTTGTATTTGATGAGTTAGCTGATGTATGGACAATGGTCAGTTGTACAACACTCTTTGTAAAAAATACCTGCGCTACCTATCTAAATCTGTTGGCAAAAGGTTAAAAATGGACTGCTGTTGTAAATTAATACTGTCAGGACTTTTATAAGCAACAGATCGATGACCCTAAGCATGGTAGTTAACTCATAATAAGTTGAACCTATAAATAAAGTGTAATAAAGGTAAATGAATATTATAAATTAATATAAAAGGTTGTTAATATTGTCAGAGTTAAAATATCATAAAAGCTGAACTTCTTTTAAACTATAGTTTGTCTAATGAACTAAACATAATGGTTGAGAGCGTTTCGCTAAGTTTCAAAGAGAAGGAAAAAGGAAAAGAAAGTATAGAAGGGATGAGAGTTCTATGTAGCCACACCCCCTCTGTGGTGGTTGTAGATTTTGTTTGCTTGACATTGACAATGTCTCTGCAAAGATGTTTATGATTTTGCAGCTTTAACAAGATCAGTTAAGCATGCAAAATTTCGAAAGACCTGCAGGCTAGAGTTACAGCTTGTGTCAAAACCAGAATTTGTTAGGAAATGAAATTAAAAGTTGATTCATGTGTAACTCTTGCCATTTTGACTTTATGTAGGTCAGCTCAAAGATTGTATCAAGAAAAACACAGTGCCAAAAAATTTGTTCGAAGATAGCTATGCCTGCTTAGCCAATAACCAAGGAAACTGGAACCAATTTCTGGTTGGTTTACAGGGGTGTATCTAGGGGGAAGTCCTAGGGTACTTGTGACCCACTATTCATTGGCAGTTTAATAATTGGTTATTGATACTTGTATATAGGGGAGGGATGGATGAGATATGGGGAGATATGTCTCAATGGGAAATCTTTGATATGTCTGTTTGTACACGGTTTTTATCGCGTTCCAGTTAGCCAGTCAGAAAACTTTTGCCAGGTTTTGTCCTTCCTATTGTGAAGGGGACAAAGATAATTATGATAATGTAAATAATTTCAGGGCATCGGTGGAAGGGATATTTCGTTGAGTTCCCCATCCCCTACCTGAAAGGCACGGGAAATCCTTGATACGTCTCTTATGATCAGCCAGTCTTACGACCACCAAAAGGATTACACACCCACGAAGTAAGAATAATCATAATAGTAATGTACGTAATGTTAGAAAATTTGTAAAGAAACCAATGAAAAGATAATGAAGCTTTGAAGAAAAAATATTTTAGTTTTATGGCGAGGGAGTTAGTAAAGCCGCAAGGATGACCGTTGTGCTCGTGAAAATACATTGGTTTTATTTACATATCGCCATAGCAACAATAACATCACATAAAAATCAATAATATAAAAAGTATAATACTTTTGCAAGGGATAACATTTTACATGGCATAAAAGGTCTAATATTGTGTGGACACTCCAACTTGGACCACTCTTGGATGACCAATCCCAATGCATGGAGAAAAACCAGCAAAGCAAATACCATTTTGATTTCAGCCAATCACATTTCTTTAAATCTCACTTGTTGTGTGTCAGTCGTTGGTTACTCTCGTTATAACGGTGAGGACACTGGGGCCGAGTTTTTTTGTCATTTTTTTAACGCATACTGTAAATCTTCCCTTGAGCCAATCGATTGGAAATAAGATTTATTTTGAAAACTTAGGATATATGGAATCAATGCTTCATTTCAGAGGGTTTGAAAGTTTAGAAAGTTTAGGAAATAATAACCTGAAAAAACCTCGGAAGTGTCCACGATTTGAGTGTCTTCACTGTATCTGTGCCTTGTCTTTAATCAGCTCGATAAAATATAAGGATCTTTATGAATGAATGTTTGAAATAATGCTTTGTTCTCATTTTATATTATGATTAACTTTAGAAGGAGTGCTATAGCGCTAGGATTATCCGTGCAGTAACCATAACGGTTTTGAAACGACTCCAGATGGGCTGAGTGATTGCGATAATGTACATAATAGAGCTCTGTAATCTGATGTAATTGCAAAAAATATTTGTGAATAATTCTTTACTTTGAGAACGCAAAAATTAAGATAGCTATTAAGACTCTATTTTAAAATGACGATTGATACATGATTTTTGTTTCGTGTTTGAGAATCAATGCTGATCAATTATGACTACTGTCAAGAGCTTAGAAAAGAAAGCTTAATTAAGAGAGAGAAACTTCTTATTGTGGCGCGCACCATGTAAATTCCCGATTGAAAAGAGCGCTCGCGCGCAAGCTGATGACGCACGGGAGTAGGTAAGGTGAAATTTAGAATGCATCCGGTTACTAAGAATAGCCCAACCGGGAATTTACATGGCGCGCGCATTATTAAGAAGTTATTCTCTCTTGCTACTGTATAATTTATTAGGGTGATACGATGCTTTGTAAGCCAGAAACTGTTCATGACGTGGAGATTAAAGTACCTCTATTCTTTGCTAAGCCTGTTTTATCCTGTATTTGTATATTTTTGGACAACTCTCTTATCTGCCGTTGAAATTTGGAATTATAGGTGTAAATGATTCGGAATTATGGGCGTTAACCATGACACATAAATTAATATGGTGTTGTTACAAAACCGCAGTACAAAAAACTATTTTTTTACTTCCGAAGTTCCCCCTCCCCTCCTCCACTCCCTCCCCTCCCCTCCCCTCCTTGTTGATCAGAGGGGAGGTAGGATGAAAGCACCCGTGTGTACTGATATGATCACTCATTTAGTTACAAACACTTGTCTTGGCAGATCACTGACGGCCTCTGAATGTCACTGGCATGGTCGGTTGCTTATTTTGACAATCACTTGTCTTCCAAATCATTGCTCATTCTCATACCCAGAGCCTCCTCATAGCGAACCTCGGAGGCTCTAGTATACCCTGAAATTCTATCGAATTTCATTGGCTTTCGAGAAAAACATATCAACGAACTCTGATTGGTCAACCGGATAAACAAACATACCAACAGAAACCAAGCCAGCCAAATCGACAAAACGGTTATATATATCTTCGAAGCTTGAATCGAATCCTTATTTCATTTTCGAGCATATTAACTTTTTACAAATTAGAAGACGTAAACAAGCCGTTAGAAAGGTTGAGCCAGCATTTCACTCCAAGCCTGAGAAAGAGCATGCGCTTTGATAACCTGGTCGCAAGTTTCTGGCATCCGGTCAGTAGGGTTTCCCAGAGCCTACGATTTGGCTATTGAGTACCGTCTGGGAACGAAAATGATCACTCGCTTTGATTGGCCAGTCGTGTGGAAGGTAGTTAGCTAGTAACAGGAGGACAGTTGCGATTCATTGGTTCACAGGCTCATCTTTACCAATATGATGATGATCAGAATGATGATGATCCGAATGATGGTGATTCGATTCATCAGTGGACACAGATTTGTTCACCAGTGATTTAAAAGCACGGATGAAGCATCTCATTCTCCAAGCGTACAGGAACTGATTGCCACAGCAATTGATCAGGATACACACTTGAAGAAAGTCACGTGACCAGTGAATTACGTCACATTCGCAGGAGGAGCAAAGGTTGGTGATCATGATGAACACGAATGCAGGAAGGTTACAAACCCCATAATAAACGAGAATCGCTTTGAATATGTTTGTAACACGACGCTCGTAAGCCGCTCGCTTCCTTTTTATCTGCCTCCTGCTGTTATTGACGTCGTTGGGCTCTTCCACCACGACCTTGTTACGTCGTAATTTGCTTTGAATACGGATGAACGCCGTCACTATTACAGAAGTGACAACTACCATGAAGATGGAGAAAGTGAAGGCTGTCTTGAAATACCCGATTTTAAAGTAGATACAGGGGAATACTACTGAGAATATCCAGATGGCGATGGACATCTTCATCACTCGACCTTTCTGTATTTTTCTGTGGTAGTTTGACTCGACTGCGATGGAGCGCTCCACTGCTAACATGGCGATACTCAAAAGTGAGGCAGTGCATCCGATGAAGAATGACATGTGTAGGGGAATGTACCAAGCTGTAACTGAATAACCAAGGCTTTCTCTGAAAAATAAATAACAACTACATGAAACTCTATCCGTTGATAGGCCTTATTGCTGGATTTCAAACAGCCAATTAAAGTCTTTGAATCGTTCTGAAAACTTGCGCGTTTCAGCTGATGAACATTCTATGCGAGACAGGAGATGACGTCAACTAAATCTAAGCAATGACCATCCATCTCTTGGCAATGATTTTTTTCCTTATTTCGTGCACATCTAACTCTAGAAATAAATGAACCTATTTTTCAGCGATTACGATGCCATTAAAGAAAGAAATAATACTAAAAAATGCAGCGTCTGAGAAAAAGTATTTAGCCAATTAGAATGAAGAAAATTTTCAAAACTGAGGTGTCACCAAATAATAAAATACGTTGCTAATCATTTCTATGTCACTATTTTAGATAAGCTGGAACGCCAGTTGAGCCATACTTTGACCTTGTATGGAATGACACAAATATTGGATTAGTGACCGCACCAATGACAATACCATTAARGAAAAAATAATACTAAAGAAATGCAACGTGTTCTGACATCCATGAGAACGCGTTGAAACATAAATACCTTGTATGGAATGACACAAATATTGGATCAGTGACCGCACCAATGACGAGATCCGATACAGCAACATTGAGCAACAAATAATTGAACGTTGTCCTCAGTTCCTTATTTGGATTCCTCATCATCGCAATACAGATGAGTAGGTTGCCTGGTAATGTGATGATGGTGAGGAGACTGGTAACAACCAACGAGGTGATGGATAAAACGAAGGGTGCTTTGATGTTTTGACAGTGGTCTACTCCGAATTCAAATCCCATGGTGCCTTTGGAATAAAACTGTACCTGATGTAAATGGAATGACAGTAAATCAAAAATCATGGACGACACGCTTTCAGGGTGGTCTGAGACACTCAATTATTTTATCTGAATATCATGTTAAAAACTACGTACGCACTTTTAACTGCGAAAAAATGCAAAAGGGTCGCATAACTATTGTGCTAATTTCCCGCCTGATTTTCTCCTTGATATGTATATAAGCGAAGAGGATTTTTAGAGGGAGAAGGTAAACTGAAAAAGCATATCAACAGCTAAATTATGCCAGGACCGACTGATGACGGCATTTTCCAAAGCATTTTCTCACTCCTCCTTTCATTCCTTGAAGAAGGTTGTGTCACCTTACCAAATCTATCTGCTCGGCATAGTTAATATCAATCAATGTTTTAATTCATTGATTATCATACCTACTGTTTGTATTTTGAGAAGAATACAGAACTTTTTCGGTTGCCGATAACTACTTCACCACTTGTTTTCTCCTCTATAAGATAAGAGTCCACAAGTTAACAGCAGTAGAACAATCCGTGGCTTCACTTGGCTCCTGCTTCGCTTCAGGTGTACATTTTTTTAGCTCGTTCTTTTGATGATTGACGCCACTCCAAATTAGATAATCTTCATCTGTCGTTACATCCGAAACAAACGGTTTACTTATCAAGTTCCCAGTTTGTCGGTGTTGAGGTTTGATCAGCCAGTATACCTTCAAAACATCAATACATTCCGGTAAACGTTTAAAAACAGCGTCTATTTGAGGTTTAGGTCAATTTGTTATTTCATGAGTTGCATCGATAGTAAATGTTTTGATCCCGATAATGTAATCTGTGTCAATAAAAAATGGGCCGAATGTGATTGTAGGTGATATTTGGTTTGGCAATCACACCTCAGGCAGGAAAAACAAAACGGCATATTGATCATCCCTGATACTTAATCAATAACACCAGTCGTGTTGGTATATGTCAACAAAATGCAACTTGTTCATTCTATTCTTTTTCAATATTTAGAACTTGGTCTTACAAATTATAATTATCCATTCCCTTTTGCCAAGTAAACTAGGTGGGTGAAACTTGGTCGAAAACTGGCTTCTATACGGCGCATGATATGCAAACTAACTGCATGTATGGTTATTGATTTTTATATAGTAAAGTTGCCAATCTCGGTTTAATTACTGTTGCTACTGTTATTAAAGTTGACACTTACTTTCCATTTGAAAAGAGCCGAGACATTGAAGGAGAGAGGGAGGGGAGGGTGGGGGAGGGACTGTACTACACTGAATAGAAATGTTACGTTCTGTAGGTCCATACAGCCTTAAATAACTAAACTGAAATAACGAGACGTACTCATTGGCATTGCTTTGAAAAAATTTTAGAATACAAACTTAGCCTCATTTTTGAAAGTGAAAGCAAAAGCAATGATTTAGGATAACAAAACAGGAAACTCCTGGATTCGGACCTAATGCCGCAAATTCTCGTAGAAATTGTGGTATTTTTAAGATTCGAGAACAGGTGAAAAAAAATTCGCAAGCGCAGAAAAGAAAGTTGGAGCAAGAAAGGAAAAATATTGAAACATTGAAAAAAAATWAAGAGTATAAACATAAGGGCAGAAAATGAAATCAAGAAATGAAATATAATTAAGAACTCCGTAGTAAAAATCAGAACGGACAAGAGCTATGCAACAAGAATCAAAAATAACTGAAATGACTCGGATTAAAAAAACTTGTGAACACTGATTTAAAAAGTATAATTGTCCTCTCAATACTATATGAGTCAAAAACCTTGTAGATATCCTGAAATTATTATTTGTAAAGACACATACTTACAATACTTACTCGATTTGAAAAATTTCTTCTTTGAGGAAGCAAAACTGAATTGAAAATTGCCAAAGCAAAATGTAATGCGTCAGCCAGTCAGAAACTGGTGAGACTGACCGAGTGGTAGCGCTACACTAGTTTGTAGTGTAACTATGACAAATTCGTCTAATATCATTCGTGGGAAAACAATTCTCAATATTTCATATTTCATTTCTGTACGAATGTTTGATCACTGAAGTAAAGAAGTACAAAGCCTTGTCTTTCTAGTGTCAATAAGATTTTTTTTGAAGATTATAAGGGCTCTAGACTTTAGTAGGAATACAAACAAGCGATAGGAAATATTAGAATTTTCTCAATATAATTTTTTATTCTAACATTTATTGTTTCATATCAAAATATTTTTGGAAAATTTACCGTAGTATTATATATATCAGGTCACTTATTGGCACTTGTGAAATAACTTCTAATGAACAAATCCAGAAGAAGTCAAATGGTTAATAATTAAAGTCAATAAGTAAGTTCTATTGTTTTTGTTTGTGCAGAATCTTGAATATTTTCCGTTGAATGATTGCAGTAACCAATAAAAGAATTACATCTTCTCAAATACAGATGGGAGCTTGAGAGAGCTGCGTGAGATTGAGATAGGGAGGGAGGGAAGGAGGGAGTGAGGGAAGGAGAGAGAGAGGGAAGGAGGTAGAGAGAGAAGGAAAGAGAGAGAGAGGGAAGGAGGGAGAGAGGGAAGGAGGGAGAGAGGGAAGAAGAGAGAGAGGGAAAGAGGGAGAGACAGAGAGAGGACAGCATAATTACTGGGTACACTAAATTTCTTCCATGGCTGGAGCCATAAGCATCGTAGTCCTATAAGCTAACAGGCATGACCTCCAAAGTAGTTACTTCAAAAACCACTCTTGACTTCAAATTAATATATTTTTTATTTTGGATGTTTTAGCTGATTCCTGGATATCCTGTAGAAATCCCTGTGCATGCCTCTGTGGCCACTGAGAATCCTTTTTCATGTAAATCAGATTACTTTATACCTGATATTTTATTGTTAATGTCTCCTGTCATGGCTCGCAGCACGTGATGGTGCAAAGCTTCAATAACAGCACCAGCTGGAAGGGCGGCGAGCACACGCGTTTTGGTGCGAAAATTCCCGCCAAATTCACAGGTAGCCCAACAAAGTAGAAAAAATTTACGATTTTTAGTCAAACGTTTTTGGGTTAAATTTCAATAAGTTTAACGTTTTAGTTTTTGTATTTCATATTACTCGATTTGGTCTTGGGCTCAATATTTTACTTTTTAATATTTACTTTTTTACGACTAATCCTCGTCTAATCCCTTGACGAATATGAGGTAAAAGGTCAGCGGTCAAGACCAAACGCTGATCGACGAACAAGAAGTGAACAAAACTTGTAGTTTTGACAGTCTTTCCTGTCCTCTTTCCTGCACAATTTATGGAACATATGCTTTGATAATAAAAGACAGCAAATAGCAGAGGTAAGAGGAAGGCTTTTTGAAGTTATAAGAATCGAGGAACGAGTGAATTAACAGGTAAATGTAATGTTTTAGGACATTTTTATTTTCTCACTTCGCAACGTGCCTTTGAAGATTCTTGATTAATATTGTGCTTCAACCGAGTTATGGTAATTTTTATCATCTTTTTTCAGAAAAAAAATATTTGATTATTGATATTTGAGAGGCATTTGGGACATCATTTATGGACTAGGCAAGCCTAATACTCTCTTGTCAATCGAGAAGAAGAGGCTGTCACTCCTGCCTCTCGATGGATGAATGAAACTTTCTCCAGGTTTGACTTTGCCAATATTAAAATATATTTTTTCATTTATGCACAGCAGCCCTGTAAAGTAAAATGGCCAACAAGATACTTATGGAAGAGAACATTATGGGAAAAAGAAAGTAAGTTGAAACCGTGAATAGATAAATAAATAGGCAACAACGACAACAACAACAACAACCTCCAGCTTTATTACCATATTTAACAAAATATATACAAATATACAGCAAATTCAGAATTTGTTCAAGGTTTCTCTACATGATAAATAGTTATAGAGCTAAACGAGCTGAGTAACTTAATATAATTAAATATTAACCTAATATTTATAAGAATGTAATGGTGAAGTTTAAATTTTAAAGATTTACCAATTACAATAACGAATTTGTTGGAAGGAAAATACGCTTAAATATTTCCATTCATTACAAAATTAAAGTAATATCATGTTTATGAAAGCCACTATATACCCAGACGACAATATGTGTTATCATATTTCGTGAACACATAGTTAAAATGCTGGCGATGATCTGAATTTGCCCGTCAAAGCTTTTACAGTTATCATGTCTCTCTATGCCATGGTTGTCAGAGTTCAGAATAGTTTCAAACAAAGTAGCTATTGATGGTTTTCACAGCCGCCATGTTGGATGAATTTAACAAAACATGCGTCATTAGTCGCTTTCGTTCTATCATCCAACATGGCCGCCTTGTCTTTTGTTATTTACTCTCTTGGGAATGATTGAAAACCAGCAATATGATATATATATAATTTGTTATTATAGCTTCCAGTATATAGCTTCCCCTTCATATTTTACATTACTCTTCATTCATATTTTTAAAAACTGACATCAAAGGCCGGATGGCGGCTATCCATCCAGTCCATAGTATGATAAGTTACGAGATGAAATGTCACTTCAACTCCGTTCAGCAGTGTTAGAAAAATAAGCTGTCGATCCTTCTTGTTTTGTAACACGTTGCTTAACCAGCGCTTTGAAAGCGCGCGTGAAGCATCTCATTCTCCACGCATAAAGGAACTGATTGCCACAGCAATTGATCAGCACACATAACTGAATGAAATCACGTGACCAGTGGATTAATTGACAGCTACACGTGGAGCAGATGTTGACGATGAAAATGAATATCAACGCGGGAACGCTGCAAATAGTGTAAAAAATGAGAATCGCTCTGAATATGCTTGTTACCCGTCTTTCACATTCTGTTCGCTTCAGTCTCATTTTCGCGGTACTGTCGTCAACTTCGCTTGTTTGTGGCGCCACCTTGTTGCGTCTAATGTTGCTAAAGATACGAATGAATGTCATCACTATCACAGACGTCACCACTAGCATCAAGATTGAGAAAACGAAGCTCATTTTAAGGTAGCCGATTTTGAAATACATGCAAGGGAATGCTACAGAGAACACCCAGATGACCATGGACATTATTGTGACTCGGTTTTTCGTTAATCTACGATGGAAGTTTGAATTGGCTGCAATAGAACGTTCTATTGCTAACATGGCGATACTGAGGAGGGAGGCTGTACAACCGATGAAGAATGACATGTGAGGTACAACAAATGAAGATACTTTGTAGCCAAGACCTTCCCTGAAAGTAAGAGAAAATATGAGTTGAAATAACTTGACTGAAAGGATAACTGGAAAGATGATATCTGACATCTGGTAGGCCATAATAAGTTGAATGTATAGATGATAGCAAAGGTAGATATCAGGGTAGACGTTGAAGAGATCTTTGCCATACAACTGAAGAGATTTTGGACCTTTAGACATATATCTATTCCCAACTGCAAAAGCCCAACTTATTTACTGAAACGTTGTCCACGTTTCGATTGTACTTAAAGAAAAAGAAAAGCAAGGAAGGGGGTATAGTCACGATCTAGCCTTCTTTATGCGTTAAGCCACCTGACTAGTAGGGGCAAAACGGCGTCCCATCGAACTTTTGGACATATAATGGAAAACTACAACAATGAAACGCGTACGCATGTGTGTTGGCGGGAAAAAGGTACATTGGTCGGCTATGGTCCCTAAAATCTATTCGCGTATAAATAATAATAATAATAATAATAATAATAATAATAATAATA